TGAATACATAGGCGGCGGTAATAGTGTTGGTGGAATGTTGGATTATTGATCAATAGCACACAAAAAGCAATGCCACCACGCGAATTTCGAATTGCGTGTGGAAGTTATTGGTTTCTGCTTCTGTGCGTAGAGCATATGCCATACACACATTTGCCGAAATTTACTACATATTCCAATGTGTTGTAAAATTCAATGTACATCATGTTATTTGAATGAAAGCTTCATTTGAGCGAAGTATTCTCAATCATTCTGCCTGATGCGTTTATCCTGGGCTGCCTATGTATTTTTTTCCATCCATTCAATGTTTGCATTACGTTTGTTCGGCATGTAACTTTTGATAGATTGAAATGAGATCCCTCATTTTGGATATTAAAAAAAACGAATGACGCACGATGTAACGTTCTGATCGTACGACGTAATTATTTTGATTTAAATTTCACCTTTTTGGCGAACATCATCGAATATGTCGAATGTTTCGTGCATTTGACGATATAGAAATAGTTGAATATTTTCAATTCAAACAGCACATGACATAATGCCTGAAAATCCAATGTTAAATCACAAACTCATCTCAGCTTAAAACTGGTATATCACAATATTTGGAAAGGGCATCCATATATGGTGAAAAAGGCTCCGGAGCATCGCATTCAGGTTGTTTCATCCGATTTGGAATGTATCCATATCAAAATAATAAATCGTTCATTGTAATCTAGCCGGCATCATGTCGAACAATGTGATTTCGCAGACAAAGCATTTTCCCTCGTTTTACGACCAACATCACACTCACACATTTATCCAATAATATCCATTTGCATTGAGTTCACCGCTTTTGCATGTCTGCATAACTCTTAATTTCGGTATACTATTTACTTGGATTGCTGTGCAAATGTCAATGGCAGGTAATATTTTTGTGCAAAGTTGCTGGCAACCAACCCACATTTGCCACAAAGGAAAGGTGGCCCATTTTCGAAATCAAATGATTCATTGACACACAAAAGGATACTATTAAGTTGAAATGAAGCTTTTTTTTTCTCTCGGTCGATGACGCTAAAATGGAAATGGTACGTCCATTGACTTTTGTATATCAAAAGTAATTTGTGCTGCAGATAATGCATAGCCCTTTTGTTTCTTTATCATTCAATAGCAATGAAGTCGGCAAATTAGTTTGACTCGATGTGACCAAAGGCTCTTATTTATCACAGATTATTAATCCCATTAGAGTTTCCAGCTTCCGCTTACAATAACATCACACACGTAGATATCGCTTACTTAAAATGGGATAAGAAATGAATATGTGGGCTTCTTTATCGACGTTTGTTTCATTATGTGAAAAAGGGTAGAAATCCATTTATAAAGAAATAAGTTTCATGAAATTTACACATTATCTATTACAGACTTTTATTTGCGTCTTTGGAAACTGATAAATATCACACACAAAATGACCTGTTTCAATCAGCGGTGTCAGATTTTTACGTGCCAATTCCATATTTGTACATATTATTTGTTATACTTCGAGTTTATTTAAAACCAAGCTATAATCATCAATCGAATAAATAAACATGGAGCATAACTGAATTTCCCGAGAAAATGAAAGAAAAACAATAGAAGTTGAAGCCAAGTCATGTGCACATTTTCATGAAAAACCTCGGCAAATAACGAGATTTCAATTACATCCTTAATCCGACAGTGATGAAAATATTCCATTGGTGCGCTATAAACGTTGACCCACTTGCATGATTGTTCGATGCTAAAACTATGTGCCGACAGAAAAAGAGGCGAAAGAACAAAGTGGGTTTTCCATTAAAGTGGTTGCAATTTGCAACATGGGAAAATCGCTCGTTTTGATCAAGAGCATTTTTTTTTGTTCTTCATCTTCTAAGCATTTGTGCAGCGATATCTTCACTGTAAGGAAAACATTGTTAATACAGCGGAATGTGTGCAACGATGTTGACTAAGTAGTCTCTATTCGAGAGCAGTACAATCGTTACAACATTCGATAGATTGGTTGCTAGTGATCTTATGCACACATCCATCCATTAATCATTACGAGACAATCGATTTCTCTCAATTTTCCTCGCAATTCGTTTTCCTTTTTTCTTTGTATCCCTCTCTTTCGTTCTCTTTCTCTCTCTCTCTCTCTCTCTCTCTCTCTCTCTCCCTCTCTCTCTGATTCAACAATCTATTCACAATGAAATAAACGATGCATTTATTGACTATGATGACGATGATGGTAGTGCTGATGATAAAATTGATAGAAAATTCATTTTCCAATTCCATTTAAACAATACTTTGACGGGTGGAAGAGAAATAGCATGCACCACATTACAACCAAGTGGATTTGTACGGTTAATGAGACTTCAACCAAGTGTTGCATTGAAGCGTAAAAAAAATCGGTGGTATTCGTCTATTTCAATGTGGTTTAATGTCGAATAAGAGTAATTCTCAATTCCAAATCGATTTTTAACGATTTCATTAAGTGGATATAATGTGCATGACCATGAAGAGGTAAACACTATTAAAGAGCTTTCCGTTTTATGTGGGTATGGTTTTATAAAAGGAAATAAGGAAATTGTTGAAAAAATACCCTTTCGGATGGATACACGGATGATTGAAACTCATATCATTGCTTTTACTGACAACAAATGCACTTCGATAGGGAGTAATGCGAATCGGACTTGTATCTTTATCGAAATTTCCTTTTATCAGTGTAATTTTCAAGCCAAATGAAAATCTCCAGTTTGAATTAAATAATACATCGACCACGAAAAAAATGTAATTGACGAAATATGTGAAATGACGTGTTTACTTCTGGCATAGTTGTCGGTACAAGTTTATAGACCATCGAAAATTAAGGAATGTTTTTTTTTCTATTGGAAACAAGCAACTAAATTGTTTATGTATGCCAAAAATGTTCAAACTGTCACATAAAACATTTTACGACATTTTGTAATTTATTTTATTGTAACTTTCGATGGCACAAAGCGAATGCAACTTTAATGTTCACAAAGGCAGGCGAAAAAAAAGCCATATTCATTGATATAATCGACTGGGGAATAGCTTAAAAAGCGATTATATCCCCAAGCAATAGCAAACGTAACCACATCAGAAGTAATAAACGCGAATGTTTATGTTCAATATCATCTTGCGCTAATTGAAGGAAAATGCAGAAAAAATGTTTTTTTCGGTGCGAAATACAATGGCCCGAAGCACGCGTTTTTTTTCTCTACAAGATTATCGAATGAAAGATGATGTTTCGCTTGCTGTTTTTCGCATTTTTCGTCGATGGCCACCTCGGTACATTAGGATTAGCGAAGGCAATCTGCTGTGTAATGGAATTAATGTGTGTTTCACGCACTCACAATTCCAGAAGCATTTTGGATCAAATATTATATGCTGTTGATTTTGAACGAACCTTTGTTCGGTGTACATTTATGATTCTTTAATGTTGCACGGTGAAATACGTATATATTTGCCATTCGTTTCGGCTGACATTTTGCATGTGTAAAATTGGGTCGAAAAACGAGTGACATTGGTATTTTCCATTTGGTAGAACGATATGCATATTTGCGAGTGCGACGCATGTGTTTTAATGCAAGCAGAACCATCAAACGAGCATAAAAATTTAAATACTACCATCCAGTCGTCATTTGTGTTTACGCACATTGAATTGGAGTACGGTGCTCGAGAATGAAATGCGGACATTTCAATGTCTATCTGCCGCTATCGTGAGGGTTTGTCAGCTTTGAACGTGCTCGCGGGCTTAAAACACGTTACACGCACACATCTGTCCGGGATATGTTCGTTCCCAACAGGATTCAGCCTGAAAGAGAGTAGAAAAAATCGTTTATTTATATAGATGCATACGTTTCGTGAAATAAACGCCGGCCAAAGAAAGAAAAAGCAAAAAAAAAACAGAAACATTGCAAAAGCGGAATGGTTTTATTTGAGTTTCTATTTGCTCAATGTTCACACATTGCGCATCGAATACGCAACACGCATAAACAATATTTTTTATGTATCATTCCCTCATTAAATTTACATTTCAGATCGGCAACAAGAAAATAGCGACAAAGTCGCGCGAGAGCGATAAAAAAATTCGAAAACACGCATTGCGTTCATTTTGGATACAACTTTGTGTTCACTTGTTTATATATGCGACACACAGAAATTGAATTGTGCAAAATATTTATGTGGGTTTGTTTTTTTCCTCTTATTTTGGTTAAACGATGTGGCACGAGTTTCTTTCAATACATCTGTGATGAGAGAAAGGTTTCCCTTTTTTATGTTTCTGTATTGTTTACATCATTCCATTTCGATACTATGATTTCCATATCTTTCAAATGGAATTCGTCGTGGTGAAAACTCAAGAGCCCATCGAGTTGTGACAACGCATACAAAACACAAAAAATCTTTCAAACTCAAGAGACTCAAAGCGACAACAAATTGAAAGAACTTCTATTTACTAAGGTGAATTCGTTTGATGTTTTTTTTTACGAAAATAAAACACAACCAAACTGGTTTCATCTCGCATGTCAGAAAGAAGAAATGCTACTCTCCAATCATTCTGGTGTGTTTTTTTTTTTGCTCTATGTTAAATATAACGCAAATCAACAAAGAAACACAACACTTTTGTCACAAGTAGGCAAATCTCAAGCTAGAAAAGTTGTTGCTACTTGCATGATTTTCCACATATAATGATGCTGACGCAACATTGTTCGTTCCTTAAACGACATTTAATTTTCAATTGTATGAATAAATAGCAAGAAAATAAATATTTAAGTAGAACTTTTTCCGAGTGAAATAATGATTTATTTCTACAGATTCTACAGATCGCATGCATTATTTGCGAGATGTTAAAGGAAAAACAAAAAGTATAGATCATACATTTTGGAAGAAAGATAAATGTCTATTTGCGAGTAAATTTATTATATTTTCAAATTAAATGAAATGTTTACGCTTGACATTATTTTATTTTATTTTTTCTTCTTGTTTCGTTTCAGGACTACATCAGCAATGCGATACACATCGAATAATTAAATATATATACCACATACACGAAACAAATTCATATTTGTTTTCGAAATTAATAGCCGAATCGGATCGTTAATGTCAACGAGAAAAAAAATAACCAGTTCAAAAAGCAATTAACACAGAAACTAGTGATAAATACACGGACGATTCGCCCGGTTTGATGTTCGATTAAATGTGTTAAATTGGTCGGAAAGAATTAATTGCACATGCAAACTACATGTAGCAAACCGAGACAGGAAAAAAAGTATCTAGGAGTTTTTTATGCAACAAATTGTAAAACTTACGTTTTTCAAAATTGACCAAAAACATTGAAATTTACAGCGTCACGAATCACGAACATAAAATACCAAATTCAAATCGTTTTTTTTTTCTGTTTCTCTTGCACAGAGCTAAGCTTACTTAATTTTCAAGAGCGTGCAAATTGATTCGACATGGTCAATTGAATGTATAAAAAATTGAAAACCCACCACATAAAAGAACAAACGATACAGAAAAATTCTCGAATAATAATTGGAAACTGCTTGAAAATAAAAACGAAACATTTAAAGGATTGTGCAATGATTGGTCAGAGATAAAAATTGAATGAATTTTGGTATTATAAAAATAAAACGGAATATAGTGCAGAAAAACTTACGAAATTAAAAGAAAAAAACACTACAAACTGATAAATAATTGCAATTAAAAAAAACTGACTGAATTAATTGCGTTGATGGTCGCTTGCCAGTACAAAGAGCGTTGTAGAAAACCAAAGTCAGCGCAACAAACAATAGCAACACACTAACAAACTTAAATTAAACGCTACATTTCGGTCCGTTAATTTTGTATGGAAATGAATTAGACTGTTTTTAACGAATAAAAATACACTTGAATTAAAAAGTTGAAACGAGCGGAAAAAGTGCGAACCAAAAAGGAAAAAACGAAAAGAATTAAAAAAACAGATAGAATGTTTATGTGCGCCACTCTACGCTACACTTGACATAAATTTGTTTCCATCTGTCTGTTGCAGTTTATCTCTACACTTTTCTGTAACAAAAAAAAGATACTCTAATCGGATCTATTTTTCATTCGCTCCATATCCAAAACGTTCGACACATTTTACATCGTTGTATATCAAAGTGACATTTGTGCATTCAAACAGAGAATATTGAGATAGCGAAAAAAAACAATCATACGAAAAAAGAAACACTTTAAGCGGATTCATTTTGCAAATTGTGCATATTTCCATTTATTCATACAGTTAGCGCACGAAACTCGTTGCACAGAATTCAGCATCGCAATCAAAACATTGTCACGTGTAATATTCATTCAAACGAAACGATTTCGGCGAATTTGTAAAGAGCAGGAAATCCATCGGTTCTTAAGTAAAGCACCGGTATCATACGCGACTCATCATCAGTGTCATCATCAACGAAGAATTACTTCCGGCTACTTCATACAGGAAGCATTTAATTTGGAAATCGCTGACCAAACGATTTCCAAATAATCGCCCATTCCTACATCACCCCAACATTCACATCGCACAGAGATTTACTTAGTTAAATACACGCCACTGCCACAACACACCGAAATCGTTGGCATTTTTTTAACCCGAAGGACGAAGAGAAAGCGGTAGGCTGCCATATTCAGGCGATGCAACGGATTGCGTACCGACCGTAAGTAAAACATTTCATATCTTTTTTTTGTGTGTGTGTGTGGATTTTTCGAATTGTTTACAAAGCAAAATTATTGCAATATAGAGATTTCATATTTGCAATATTTGATTTTGCACATATTTTTAATTTTGACATTTTTTTGGGATGAAAAAACATGATCGGAATAAATTATTGAAAATCTTTGAATTGCAAACGATGGAATACCTTCAATTAGCTCATTATACAAAATACATAACATCCCGTGTACAAAAAAAGTGACTGACTATTTTGGGACAAACTGACTGACTATTGACTGTAAAAACAAGCAACCTTAGTTAAATTTAGTTAACTTCAATCAATAAAAGTAAGCTATGGTTAACTGCAACAGCTAACTATAGTTGACAATAATCATAGTCACCCGATAGTCAAAACGTCCCAAAATAATCGCCTGACTGACTGAGTAACTATAGTCGATTGTTTTCCATACAAAATTTTAAAATTCATGAATATAGCTTACAGTCAATAGTAACTTAGTCACTTTTTTTCCACTCGGGATAGGAATCCAGTCATTATAATAATACACATTGTAGATGATAATCTATTTGCATTGGTATTTCAGTGAAAAATTAACTATGCAAATCAGAGAAGTAGTATGACAATATGTCATTTTTATATACATTCTGGTATAAATGAAACGTACAGGTAAAAAAAAGTCTGTATAAAAAATGAAATGATAATTTAATATTTTAGCCATCGCAACTGAATCGAAAACAATGGTCTGCAGTTGGTTTAATCCATTCGTAATTGGATTAGCACGACCATTTCAATTGATATTTAACGAGTGTATTTTTATGAATTTCACATTTTCAAAATGAAAATTCAAGCGTTTCAAATGTCACCAAACAATTAAAACTTAGTTACGATAGAAAATAATCAATATATCTGTCATTTGGTTCATGAACCGAAAAAAAATGAATAAATGATGGAATTTTCGAAATGTTTTGCTCATTGTACGTTAACCACATTTTTTAAAAAACAATAATGAACATCAGTTTGCAAACTGTTTGTATGCTACAATATATCGACCAATTTGACAAAACAATTGTCACATTTCTGTTTAAAAACACTCTTAGATCCCATACGATGCTGCAAAATGAGGGTAATGGCAGAAATATTATGGTGTCCAGTCATTGCGCTTATTTTATGCATGCATCTATATCACCATAGTTTTTGTATGTTTGTTTTTATAATAGAAGTCTCTATATATTTTACTCAAGTTTTTGTGTGTCATAAATTCATTATGATACAGAGAAGAAAAAAAGTGAAATGAAAGAAGTATACGTATACCGAATAGAAAAAGTATAAAACCTTCTCAGAATCAAGTGGTATCAGAAAATAACACCATCAATTCAGAGTCACCCCGGCGCACATATGTATGCAATGCTCTATTTCCCCATTATTCTCGTGTGTTCTGGTGCCGACATTTTGTTTATATCATTGTATGTATATGTATGTAAAAACGTAATGGAAACTCGGCAGAACGAATGAACGAAACGACCGTGGAATTATTATACGAAACGAAATGCAGAACAAAACTTGGTCAAGAGATAAAATCAGTTGGAAAAGAAGCAAATAAAACGACCCGAGCATCATTGAGCAAATAGAATTGACAAAGCAAAAGCCAGTTTTATACATAGTTGGTTAATATCTGTTCCTCTTTTTTGCCATCACTTTTCCATTGCGACTTTTATGTGCTCTGTCACCAACAAAAATATCGTAATATTTTTTGCTCTTCTTTACTTCTTCTCTGTTTTTTTTTGTTCGTTCGGTTGGTTTTGCACACGTCCACATATTTTGGGGCTTGCTTGTGTGCGATACGAAATGCAATGTGGTTTATGCTGATGATGAAAACTTATTGTGTCTGCACTCAACCTTTTGCCAACATGCGTTCAAACTTTTCGCTGAGCACTCATAACTATATGCTGTTAATGAAAATAAAAACAATAGCCAGAAAAAAACTTTTTCATTTCTTATGAATGATGCTCTTTCTCGTTCGCTCTGCGTTGTTCGCTCGATCTAATGCGTGACTGCTAATGATTCACTTCATCAACCATTCAAGTGCCGCCATATACACAAACACCATTTCTGTCTATTGTCAAAAACATTCATTCATATTCATGCTCCCCAAGGCAATTATCACAACGCCGTTTAATTTCCTTCTGAATTGCACGTGTGTGAAGCGCAAGATTTCTGATTAATTTTGTATATGCGAAACCAAGTGCATGCTAGAGAGAACGTGAGATGGGGGGAGCTTCATCAATCACTAAATACGATGTTGTGCTTGAATTATTATTATGAGACTATCTCTTTTATAAAACGAGATTTTCAATTTCTACACGATAATCCATTAACTTGATTCAATCGATTCAAATGTATGCATCTATCGATGGAGCAATATTTCAAGTGGAAGGTGACACTTTTATTGAATGAATTGACATAGTCATTACATCAAGTGATTGAGTGAATAAGACTAGCTGTGACATTTCAAAATTTTACTCTCTCTCCTTATCTCTTATTCTGTTAAAAACAAATAAACGAAATTCGCTTACTGCAAAAAACTTTATGATGCAAATATTCGCTCAAGTACTTTTGTTGATTCGTCTGATAGAATAAACAAATGGCGCACACAAAATATCAACTTACTTCGTATTCTTTGATTTTGTTGTCATATTGATCAAGCTCTGCACAAATCACACCAATCATTTCATACCTTTGACGTAGATTTTCAATTGGTATAACAAATCTATGAAAATATTTGGATATAAAGTGTTGCAGCAGAGCTTTTTTGACAGCGCTTCTTTTAACTTGCGTAAATTGAAAGACAAATCGTTTTTTTGTTATTATTTGTTTTTATTATCAAATAGCTGGCGTTGAACAAATGGTGCAAACAAAGAAATGAAGGAGAACCTGAATTAGGTGATAACTTTATTTTGCTTGATATGCCAAAAAGAGCCGAACCAATGAATGTAAAAGCCAGCGCTTGATATATCAGATTCGTTCATGTGTGAATTTTTTATCTAAATATTAGATCAATTCAATGACGCATATACGAAAAATGATGAAAATATTTATGGATAAAAAGTAAATGTTTCGATTTATCTTTTAACTCGTTCAGTTTTTATCCCAAACGCCCATCAATTTCAACGTGTTCAGCAAATCGAACGTTTTCGAACATTTCTTTGAGTTAGTATTTTTCAAAATTTGAAGAAAATATGTGGAAAAATAGAGTGCATCACTTGAGAACAAGTTGACTATTGTCAAAAAACATTCAAGAATGAATTGAGCATGTATTTTTTGTTGTTTTATTGCATGTTTTTTTTTTCGTACGCAATATTCCCTCTTTTGCTCGAAGTTTGCAATAAAAAAGGAGAAAATAGTACTTTTATTGTTTCGTTCAACAGTAACAGTACTGAAAATATGTCAAAATGGCGAGAGTGAAATAACAATCCGTTGATTGAAAATAAAAAAAAGAGTCGTAATAGAAGTAAAAACCCAATCAATTTTTTCTCGTTTGTATAGCTATAAAATCGTGAGCAAACAGTTATATGGTGCGTTTTCTTGTTTACACAATTTTCCGTGGATTTCACTCGATTACATATTTACACGTGTTAGCTCTTGATCGCAAAAGGGCAGCATTGTTATACAACACATTTCGAAAGAGCAATTCAAATGTTGTTGCTGTTTTTGTCAAATGGCATGCAAAATTGAAAATCGAATCTCCCAACTATATACTTTGGATCGAAAGTGAGGAAAATCGGTATCCTTTATTTTAATTTACGATGTATGCTTGTGTTCTGAAACAAACAACAGAAGGCTAAAGGGAGCGAAAATATTAGAGATTTCTCTGTCTAATTTTTTCTTTGTGACAGCGTGAGTCTTTTGATATGGCTAACACATGCTCGACAAGAATATGGTCAGCTGAAATGTGAACGTAATTTCTTCGGTTAGAGAGATGTCAAATAGCGCGTTAATCAAGCATGGGTCGATTCTAGAATCTGTTAAAATGTCATGTGCATACATGATTCGCCGCATTTTTTTGCGCCCCTTCAAAATCGATTACGAATCACATATTATTTATGATTATTTTTTCGGCCAACACAAACAAACAAAAAAATCGCGTACTTCAACAAACACAAAATAACACTAAAAGCATAAAACCGAATCAACAATTTTCGACAAGGCATTTACGATCGAAGCAGTCGTAATTTCTGAAGTGTTCACATTTTTGCGTCCATTTTCAATTCAGAGTCAGTTTCGTGTGGTGCCCAAAACGGTATATGTTATTTTAATGCTGATACCGACAGTTTTTTTTTCTTCATCGGCTCCATTATTATTGTCGTAAGTATTTGTATGTGTGTTGTTTGTGTTCATCCGAAAAACAGTGTGCGCTATTTGCAATGAAATGACCATGCAGTTGGTCATAAATTACAAAAGTGTGTACCGTTTTGACGTGACTTTTCTGTATGTAGACAAATATATTTTTGTATTTTTTTCTCTCTCTCTTGTGGCGGCTGGTTCACCATCGGCTATCGTTGACGGTGTAAATGGCTATTTTTGGGGGATAGTAATTGCCATTCTCTTGAAATTGCAAATGCCACACCAAAACGTTCGAAATTTTATTTGTAAATTTCATTTTTTTTTGTGTGTGCTTGCTTGTCTTTGAACCAATTTATTTTTGCCAGACGAAAACAAAAAACGCATTTGGTTTTTATTCACTGAAGCAACGATTCGTTTGTCAATGAACAGAAGGATATCTCTGACAAAAGTGGAACCACTCCTTGTCAATGAATAGACAGTGAAAATAAGAGAGGATCTTTTTATTGCTTCGATTTTTTTGGTGCTTATCAATCTCAAAGCAATTTTGTATCAAGTTTTTTTGCATCGATAACATTGTGTCGCAGATGAATTTTTCACTGCGAATGATACCGAATTTCATTTAATTTGAATGAAGCGAAACTTGG